CAGTAAATATTTATAAACAATCAGATCACCCACACAAATGCGATTGCAACAGGAGGAGTTGGGTTGGGCGTGTTAATGGTAATGACTCATCTGCAAGGCATCAAATCTTTGTATCTCAAGGTGAGTGCAATAGAAAATCATACTTTAAATAACTAGTTTTAGTTGGGTCATACAATGGTCGATTTAATAATTCAAAAATAACCTGTAAGCATGGTAATAAATATTTTTTATTAATTCACATCCAAACGTTTTTTATTTAATTTTAGATAATTGGAAAAGAAAGAAGTCCCCCTGTTGGTTGTTTCTTGAACTACTTATAATTTGTACAAGGTGCTTACATTTTATCTACATGAGTTTTTACAATGAATTTCAACCGTGATTAAGTTACTTTTTAGAATTTTATTTTTTGAACTGATGGCCTTTAATAGAGTTAATATAGTTCTTATAAGTTTAAGTATATACATTTTTTAACTTGTATAATTTTGTATCTACATATTGAATACACACAATTCTACGTTTACCAACACTAAAAATAGCGACGATAGAAGCAACCAAACAGTTTTTCGTGCGTCAGCTGTTGAGGAAGTAATGATTTTAAATATATTTGTTAGTTTCCTTGTGTTAAAGTTGAATTTTTAAATTGCAATTTAACTTATAGAAGAGCTAGAAACAGTATTTTTTAATTGTTTGTAAATGCTAAGCACATTTGCATCACCACATGCGTGATTAATCGATCATCTCTAAGATCGCGTGACTCCTAAAAAAACTTGCATGTTCATGCTATTTATAGATATTCTGCGCTTGTATTGGATGTGCTGCATTTAATTGAGACTTCCGCAAACATTTTGCTGCGCTGCGGAAATTGGCACACTCTCTTCAAGGTCAAGGATGTTTTGAGGCAGCTGATGAACTTCCTGCCCACCGGGCAAAAACCTGTTCCGATTAAGTTTAAAAAATGTAGATAAATGACTTTAGCAATTTTTTAGAAAGTCAAGAGCGGGCTGCATTTACAAACGTATAGGTATAGGTGTTTCCTAACGTGCCATTTATTAAACACGTTAGTAAATAACCCTCTCAGCTGTTTGAGTTTGTTGTTGTGTGGGTGCGCCTCTCCCACTCTCTCTTTGCCTTTCCCGCTCTCATTTTCAAAGCTTTTGGCTTTTGTTGTTTAGCATTTCGTTTCATAGTAGATTTTATTTTGTGATTGCCAGCCAGCGAGTTTGGACGCATAATTTGTCATCACCTCGACCCGTGGTATTTCTATTCGCACAAACAACAAAATGTCATCCGCCGCCGTTCAGCCCCCGCCGCCCGTTCCCCCACCACCCCCGACTGCCGCCCCCTCAGCGGGAAAGGGTCTGCACTCCAAGCTGTACAATGGGATGATTGGCGCCGCCGACAAACTTGTGCCCGCCAAGCTGCGCCCACTGTGGATGCATCCAGCTGGTAGGTCCAACGATCTCTGTAACCCTCCATATGTGTAACTTGTAACCCCCATATCATTTCCAGGTCCCAAAACGGTATTCTTCTGGGCACCCGTCTTCAAATGGGTAAGTTGAGTTGGTAAAAACCAGACGGATGGGATTACATAACTCGGACAACGCACGACCTTCGCTGATTTTCATTATCGCACACATACGTTCGCTATAAATCCGAAACAACGGCGGTAGACGGTAGACAAATCTGTGCGCAGGTGCCATTAAATGAAATTATTTTGATTATTCCGAGCAACCTGCGCTTGATAAGTGAACTGCTTTTGTGTTTGTGAGCCAATTGCGATTGTTTCTTTGAATTATGGAACCCTATAAAGAGGGGTTCCGGAATCCCGCCTAATATACCTTTTCAAATACCAATTGTAGTTCCAATCCTTGAAGAATTTCCTATTTGAGCAGTCATCTTGGCTAGATCAATTCATTTGTTTTTGTTTATTTTGATACGATATATACATATGTGATATATAAATGTAGAATTTTTTGATTGTACGAGATGTCTAGAAATAATAATTCATTATAAAGGCTGCATACATAATATGTTTTACATATTTTGATTCCAATATTTGTTGATGCTAACGTAGTCTTTAGAAAATAAGCCAAAAAATAATAGGACAATCTTTCGGATCATAACAAACATGGAGTGGTACTTTTCTTGAAATCTACTAAAAATATTTCTACCTCTTTCAGGGCCTTGTTGCCGCCGGTTTGAGTGACCTGGCCCGTCCGGCCGACTCCATCTCCGTTTCCGGATGCGCCGCCCTGGCCGCCACGGGCATCATCTGGTCCCGCTACTCGCTGGTGATCATACCCAAGAACTACAGCCTGTTCGCCGTGAATCTCTTCGTGGGCATCACGCAGGTGGTGCAGTTGGCCCGGGCCTACAACTACCACCAGAGTCAGGAGAAGCCGAAGGAGCTGGAGCTGCCGGCGGCGCAGAACTAAACGCATATCGAATCGAATACCGGTGCTGTCCCCTCAATATAGACTTTAATCGAAATGTGTTATGTACATACAAACAAATCCCACAATGCACAACGTAATCGAAAGGATTAAGAAGGAGCTGTGTTCGCAGATCGGGCATCTGCGTTTTACAATCTGTTAACCATTATTATTTATGGTCCATCGCCTTATCGACGTGATTCGTATTACTTAAGTTGTAACTGTGGAGGCTTTGCGTATAGTTTTATGAATACGAAAATTATTGGACAGTTTGTGATTGTCAACAAATAAACCAATATATTGTAAGACTGTAGACAGTAGATAAACTTACATGTTTCAATTCTTGGCTTGGGCTTTCCTACAAAATTGCAAAAAAACAAAAAACAATGAATTAACAGGTCAAGTTTATATAATCTACAATATGCTAGTTAGGTTCCGCTGAAACGTAAGTAATCGAAATTGATTTTGTTCTTTTAATGCAAAAAAAATTTAATTTGACTGACCTAAATAAGTGTATCTTATAGTAATTCCTTTAATACCTCAAAGGTTATTTTTAAAACGGAATAGCAAGTCTTAGTATCACGTATACGCCATGTGCACTAAACCTATTTGCACACTGGTTCCACGATCAGCTTTACACAATTAGTCCCACAAACACAAATTAATTAAAAACCAATAAAAAAACACTTCGTAAATTTCCCACCTAGGTCAATATCAATTAGCGAATATTACTAATAACTTTTATAAGTTTAGTTTTACAGTTATTTTATGGCTAATATGAACTGCGGAGAGGGCCTAGCGTCGTCCACTAGTTGTTGATAATGCTGGTGATAACAGGAGCTCTACGCTAATAATACTGGAGAAACATAAACATATGTCTGTGGACCCCGGACTTCTCGCAAAAGCTCAGTTGTAGATGGACGCTTGTTAGGAGCTGTTGTGCCTCCAGATTTCAATAGGCACTCCACTTCCCACCTAGACGAGAGGAACTTTATCGGAACCCGGATCGAGTGCTGTTCTAACGCTTCTAATCAATCATCCAATACTATATACAAATTGATAGAGGTAGGTTATAACAATATTGCTCTCGATTTGCGAAACCACATCAGTTTCTCTTTGGATCTCTGTTCGGTTGGACGTTTCAGTATTAAGGCACTGTCCTCCGGTCGGGATGTCTGCCGAACCCCCAACTCCTCCTGCCACTGCGGCAGCTTCCGCCGGAAAGGGTCTTCATTCCAGGGCGTATAATGGACTTATCAATGCCTGTGACAAGTTTGTGCCTGCCAAGTTGCGACCCTTGTGGATGCATCCAGCAGGTGATGTTACTGATTTCTTGGGTATAAAACTTATTTTATCGGACTTTTTCCTCTAGGTCCCAAGACCATATTCTTTTGGGGTCCTATCGTTAAATGGGTAAGTTTGGAAATCCTTTACATATGTATCTCGGAACCCTTGGTCCTTGCCCTTGGTCCAATTTCTATTATCGCCCAGCTGATAAACAAATCTGTGGGCGAATCTCGAGTTTTATTATTATTTGTTTATTTCTCGGCAACCTGTTCAAGCTCGCGATAAATTAATATACATATATAATAATACACGCGCGAGATTCTGATAACTAAATGATTGTGCAGTTCTGTGGCTTTTGGAATACTTCATAATATTTGTTGTTTCTGGGAGAGAGCTTTGGCAACATGCCATAGAGATTTGCAGTCAAATCAGGGGACTTACCCTTTATTATCAGCCTGATCCCCTAATCTCTGTACCCATTCAATTTTCCACTACAGGGCCTCGTTGTTGCTGGAATTGGGGATTTGACGCGTCCTGCGGACACGATTTCACCCAACGCATGTCTATCTCTTGGCGGAACGAACCTGATTTGGACGCGCTACTCCCTAGTCATCACACCGAAGAACTACAGCCTGTTTGCAGTGAATCTCTTCGTGAGCGTGACGCAGCTCATCCAACTGGGACGGGCCTACCACTACCAGTGGGAACAGTCAAAGCTGGAAAAAACTGGCGAAGGAAAAACCAGTTCATAGTAGACCAATTAGTGCATTTTTTAGACTTCCTTAAAACAAATAAACACGAGATTATAATTATAATAAATGTTTAAAAATGAATGGGGTTTACCTGAAACTAAATATTCAGCTATCGAACTAAAAAAAACCAAGCAAAAATGGGAAAGGATATTTTTTTCTTTTCCTAAATTTTAACTATTAAAACATATTTTTATAAAGAAAACACTGATTTCAAAAATCGAATGGATAGGAAAGGATATTTTTAAATATCCTTTTTCTAAATTTTAACTATTAAAACATATTTTTATAAAGAAAACACTGATTTAAAAAATCGAATGACCGAGTCACGTTTATTTCAGATTTGTATAAACAAAAATGTTATTGTTCATGATAATTTGGTTTTACAAGCTTATTTTAATTTAAAAACAGTGAAAAACCAACTTTTTTCTAGAATTTCATTTTTTAATAACGGTCATTTCCAGTCCCTGGTTTAAAAAGATTTTTTTTAAATCATCTGATAAAAAAGCCAAACTTCCATCACTTTCGGTTTAATCGATAAATGTAAATAAAACCCGGCGAATTCTTAGCTGTTTGTGAATTTCTTTACTAATTTTAATAAAAATAACTAAATAATTAATAATATGGCGCTGGTGGACTATGGTGGGAGCAGCTCCTCCGCCTCTGAAGATGAAGAGTCCACAGAAAACAATCAAACTCCAACATTGAGCAGCCTCAAAAGGTAATGTGGTTTTCCCCAATGCCTGTAGACTTCTACATTTAAACCGCTGAAGACCGGCCCTGCCCACAGCTGCCGCCCTGCTGGGCCCCAAGAAACCCAAGCCGGAGGAGTTCGTCGAGGATGTGGTGGATGATCCCGCTCTACATGGTGGTCGCATCCGAAGCTTCAAGCACGAGCGGGGAAACTGGGCCACCTACGTCTATGTGCCGGCAGCAGCCTGTGCCGATCAGCTGGAGGAGTTCCAAGCGGAAGCCATTGCCCATTTGGAGCCGCACCTGGAACTGCAGGCTAATGATTCACTGCATCTCAGTTTGAGTCGAACGGTGGTGCTGCAATACCATCAGATCGACGAGTTCTCACGGTCCTTGCAAACAGCTCTTAACAGCTCCGTGGGGTAAGTCCTTGAACCAGGAGAGGATTATTCAAAATGTTAACGGAATATCCCTTTAGATTCACCGCCACATTGCAAGGCCTAAGGATTTACACAAACGAGGAGCGGACCAGGACCTTCATCGCCGCCCCTCTGGATCCTGCTTTTGTGGAGAAGATGACTGCCATCCTGCAACCCATCGACCAGGTGATGCTCGACTACCGGTTGCAGCAGTTCTACGATCCTGCCTCCTTCCATGTCAGCCTCCTTTGGTGCTTGGGCGATCAGGAGGCACTGCTGAAGGACAAGCTACAAGAGCTGCAAGAGCTCCTGGAAGATCAGGACACTCTGACACTTGCTGTCAATGAAGTACACTTGAAATGCGGCAACAAGGACTTTACTTACAGGTTAAAATAGACAGTGATTATTGAAATTTTATTGTTTGAATTTAATATGATTACTTATATGCATGCTGCTCTTAATTGTAATGTATAAAATCTTTACTTTAAAACGTAATCCCTTTATAATCATAATATCCATTATTAGGATACGCCAAATATATTTGAAAAAAGGTATATTGTTAAATGAACTGTTGGTGCTAAGTTACCATCTAATATCTAAATAATACTATGTTTACCTCTTAGTTGAGACCCTTCTTTTTGTTGCCATTTCCCTGCTTGGCTGCCTGAGCCTGCTCCTCCAGCAAGCGCTCCTCTTCCAGCTCCAGAAATCGTTGACGACGGCGACCGAGTGGTGTTTTCGACCACCAGGATTCGAAGGCTTCCTCCTCCTCGCGATAGACAGGATCCCGAGAGCTGTATGCAGATAAGCTGTTAATAAATCAAATTTTATACCTAGATTTTCATAAACCCACCACAGGACATTGATAAGCTCGGCGTTGGTGAGTGGTTGGGTGCGAAGCTGGAGTTTTCGCTTGCATGTCATTACCTCCTTAAGACAGGCATCGATTGCTCCAATGGTATAGCCATCTGATATCTTGGCCATGGCACTGGTGTCTAAGTTAGAGATGCCTCCAGAGTAATCGCTGTTGGGAGAGAAAATAATTCATAAGAAATCAGATCGAAATATGGTTTTTAGGATCACGTACTGCAACAATGTTTTCCAGGCGTGCGACATGGCTCCGTAATCCGGTCGTGGAATGTAGATAAACCTATTGTAGACAGATTGCAGTAGCTTTTGGTCAGCCTCCCAGGGCAAATTTGAGGTGCCCACGAAAATCACACGATCCTCGGGGGCAATGTTTTTGATCAGCTTTGGCAGATCCTTCTTCAAACGTTTCGGATCTGTGCGATCCGTTTTCGGAATTTTCTTCATGAAAGGTCGTTCTGCATCGCCCATGTAGATGACGGCAGGTTGGAGCAATCGGGAGACCTTTAGGACCAGATGAATCAGCATTATTAGTCCCGACTTGCCCGGATACTTTCCCACTATATTAGCAGGGGTTAAATCGAATAGCACTGCTCCCACTTCCGTGCAAATAGCATGGAGTAAGGCTTTCTTTCCGGAACCCCTCGGTCCGGCAAGTAGAATTGAGCGTATAAGCGGAGTGCAATTATGGATCGCATCCGATCCCAGTGGGAGGATGCAGTACTCCGTCAGGATCTGGCGAATGTCGCCCGGCGAGGGATTCGTGCCATTCCTGGCGGTCAACGCCTTGTCGCCAAGGAACTGTTTTATCTTCAGTTCCGGGTATTTACGTATTATGCCATTCGTGACTAGCTCCTCGTACAGGGACTCCGTCGTTCTATCCGGTGTGAGATCCTTCTCCTTCTTCTTTTTGCTTTTCTTGCCGGATCGTCGCGTCTTCTTGCTGCTCTTCTTGACTTTCTTGCCGACAGCCGTCTGCAGCAGCTCGATTTCCTGGCGCATCACATCGTCGACGGCGCGGCGAAACTCCAGCTCCACTTCCTGATACTTGTCGCTGTAGATCATGTCCTCGTAGGCCGCCTGGCTAAGCACTCCGGTTTCATCCTTGTCTCGCCAGGTGTCGTTGAAGCTGGCGGAGTAAGAGAAATAAATAATTAAATATTATTTAAAACAGAAGCTGTTAAGTAATAACAATACACAAAACCTTCCTATAACTTACAGATCTATTTCCGCTCGAATATCTGGCAGGCAGACAGACGGAGCCGGCTGGAAGCTGACCTCCTCCTCCTGGTTTTCGTTGACGTTCAGGTCGCCGCTGCGCGCCGGTGACTTAGACTTATCCTTGGTCTTCCGTGACTCCTTGGAGGAGCGTGCCGACGAGCGACTGTGTTCGCTCTCTGTGCCAGGTCTACTGAATATGTGCAAGGAGCCACCCTGATCCTCAGAGGGAAAGTCCGGCAACTTGCCCGTCTTCTCGTAGCAATCCTTTACCCAGGCCCGGATCTCATCGGCGATGTCTTCCTTCATACTGGCTCCATGCTTGGCACGGATCTCCTCCTGAAGGGCGCGCTGCCGCTCCTCAAACTGCTTTCCGTAAAGAGCCTGAGCCTCGTAGCGCTTCTCGTTGTGCTGCAGCTTCTCTAGCTTCTCCGCCCGCTCCTTAACCACAGCCGGAGGAGGTGGCAGCATGCCAATCAGTATCATCTCCTCCATCTTGCGGCGCCGCGTGATCCGCCTTGCTGTGTGACCACGCCACATTTTTTGAATCTTCATGGCAGCCAAAAGACCGGAGTCACTGCGCTCCTTTTCGCTGCGCTCTTCCGATTTACCCTTCTCCTTGAGGATGCGTATCTCCTTCATGAAGTGGGCACGTAAGCGCCCTTGTCGCGCCCGCTCATGCATCTGGAGCATACGGATGGCTTCAATCTCGGTGGTCACCGTCTCCTCCATCTCATGCTCCTCCAGCCAGCCAAGCTTCACTAGGATCTCTTGCATGGTTTTCTTGCGGAACTCAAGCTCCTGTTGGCGTTCACGGAGAAAGTAGCGGGGAATCCGCAGCTCCGTCTCCATGGGCGTAAGGCGCAGGCGCTCCACCACCTCATCGTTGTAGCTAAACTCCATGAGGTCTATATTCACGAGGTCGTGCTTGAGCTCAACCACCCGGCCCAGACAGGCGTCCAGTAATTTGCGTACCAACTGACGCTTTTGCGGCTGAATCATCTGTGGAAAATTCAGGAATGGATGGAGAACTAAACAAACTATAAGTCGCATACCCACATTATCGTAAACATCCTCTAGGCGATTGCTCAAGCATATATAGCGCAGATAGAACTCGTACAGACTTGACTGCAGCAGGGCCTTGGCATCAGCATCGGCGGCGACGGAGCCGACTGCGGCGTTCATGGTGGCCACCGTTGTCTCCACATCCTGGTGCTGTCTCTCATAGTCAATGGTGGACAGCAGCTCGCATTCATGCTGGGACTGGTGCCAGATATCATTAAAATATGTGCTGGACATGGTGATCAAGGATTGTTCAATGCAAAACTAACTTTCTTGTTTAAACCGAACGGAACGTTGCCAGGCGGCTCTCCTTGGAGTTGCCAAGGTGCCGTACAAGGGTGGAATTATTCCAAGAACAATGCCGGGTTAGTATTTTTATACACATATAGTTGAATATAATACATTTCGTCTCAGGCGTTGCCTTGAGATACCCTCGAGAATAATAATAAATACATATATTACATGGAATAGACTTAAAGGTTATATAGTCCAATGGATTTCAATGGGTGTTATGTATGGAATAATAATCGCTTTCCGAATTCTAACTTTCTTTGACCTTAATCATGGTACAGGATATCATTTTAGACAAAGTCGCAGGCAAAGAAGTTAGTTATTCGGAAAACTTACACTTTTAAACAGTTTTGCAGACGAATTGAACGCAGGATTGTTTAGTACATGGATTATGGACATACATATTTAGTTAATAAATAGTTAACAGTAAAATTGGGCCTAGTCAGAATAAGTTTTAAATATTATCCGTGGAACAGTACTTGATCATGGATTTGGTGTGCTTAAATTGGATGCCACTAGTGGCGGCCATGACCTCTTGGATAAAGCTCTGGGAGTTGTGAATGGTGGTGCCGCCAAGGATGACCCTATATCCTGCATTGTTCATCTGGTGTACAGCTAAGGCCTCCTCGTACGTGGCTCCACCAATGATGAAGACCACCACCTCCTGGGGTGGTCGTCGGAATGGCACGAGCTCCGAATTTATGGCCGGGAAGAGGGGATCCAATTCGCGACCCTTAAACACATCCTCGAGGGTCTCCTTTAGCAGAGGAGTGTGCTGAGTAAAGACATTCTCAACTCCCTTCAGACCCTTGATCAGGTTGCGGGTCAATTTTACAGCATCTGTGATCCGCACCATGTTGAACAGATCTCCCTGGCGCACATGGGTTCCAGCATACTCGATCAGAGAGGGCACCACAGCAGCTCGACCGCCGCGCGATTTAATGATCTGCAGCAGTCCGGATGTGTCGCAATTGGCATGTCGCTCGTATCGCAAAGCATAGAGTGCCACTAACTTGAGAGCATCCTCGACGGAAACCCGCTCGTCCGCAATCAGTTTCTTAATGCGCTGCAGCTGGGCGGAGTGCTCGGCCTTGCAGGCGATCTCCTGCTCCAGCTCAGAGACCTCAAAAAGATTTCTCTTGTTACTTAACGCCGAAAGTTCACCAATCACGCACAAATGCTTTTGCACGGTGCCGGACATTTTCTTAAACTGCGGATACGACTCTATGAAATTCTTCATGTCCGATATGCTCTCCACCTTCTTGTGGTCATTGGCCTTGCGCTGGAACTCCTCCATCAGCTGCTTGATGGTGGACCCGATCTCGCCGTAGTTGGCGTACATGTTGTTGCCATAGAACTCATCCTGATCCCCGGATAAAACAAGCTCCTTGAAGTCCTTTGGTACGTTGGGTCGATTTGACAGATCCAATCGATTGTTCTTGATGTGCAGCAACTCATGGACCATGGCCTGGTAGGTCCACTGGTGAAGCAGCGGCGTCACTGGGTCATCTCTGCGGTCCAGCACGAGCAGTAACGGCGGGGCAGCGCCATCCATGTTGGACCGAAAGTCGAACAGAGACGACTCCTTGGTGATCTGCTCATAGATCAGCTTGGCCAAGAGCTGAGCTGCCTGGGATCCGGCTCGGTAGCGGATCACTGGGTTTAGTTTCAGCGACAGCAGCACAGCAGAGATGCCCTGCATGCTGCGGGTAAGTGCGTCCGGCAGCCAATTCAGGTTCCCCATACAGTTGGGAATGCTCAAGGAGAACAAATTGGGGTTGACGCACAGGTAGTCCGCATACAGTTCTTTGACCTCCCGCACCGACTCGGATTCATCGCATTCTGCCAAGTACTTGATGTCCGTCCGGGGAATGATGTTGCTGAAATCTTTTTGAGGGTTTAGTACATTTAAAGAGGCTTTTTTAACCCACTCACATATGTAGTAGGCGCTGTATTTGGGATTCCTTAGCTCGTTGGCCAGGAGCTGGATGTTCTGCTTTGTGGGGCGGATAAAGACGATGCACTTGAGGTACTTTAGCCGCTC